CTCTTTTTCTAACACATATCAAATGTTTATGGTATTGAACAAAAATATACTTTTGGTCTGCTCCTATAAATTCAATTATAGATTTATGTTGTCTACTTGTTCTCGATTTAGGCTTTCTAGTACACAACTACAAAGTTAATATTTATATAAATTAGTTTAAAATAAAGTGCGAATTTGGTTTGAGCAAAGATGTTACTAGAACTAGGAATTTATTGATGTAGCTCTGTGGTATTAAAATTATTTCACACAAGTTTGAGTCTAATTAGTTCAAGAATTTCGTTGAAATTCTTTTTAACGACGAGGAGGTTAGATTTTCTATCTAATTTTTATTTATTTTAAATATATATTAATGTTTTCAATTAAATAATTTATGGACTTATATTAAATGTACTTTTATATTATAGGGACGTCGTATAACTGGAATCCTACGAGCTACCCATATGAAGAAATGGATGGATAAAATTAAAGAAGGAGAAGTTTATGGTATCAACAAATACTAAGTGGAGAACAATTATGGTTCATTTGGACTCGCAATTTTTTATTTTAAAATTGTTATCCACAGTATGACAAGTTTGGTTAGGTTCAAATGTGACTTCCCTACTTTTTTATTTGATTTTAGAAGTTTTGATACTCTCCGTTTTGGTGTTCGTCGAGATCAAACTGTGTTCTTTGGTAATCTTTAATTCTATCAATTATATTTAATATTTTCGTATGAATAATTGATATATATTAAATAACTTATGATTTCATCAATTTTTTATAGATGTAATTGGTCTTGTGGTTGAAACTGGAGTCGTTGAAATGAAAGATGTTGATGGCGTCCTAACAAACATGATTGTGTTTTCTCTTACAGATCTAGAGTAAGAACTTTTATTATTTCACTTTAATCTTTGTTTAGTTAAGATCGAATGTATCACTTATAAAAATAGTTGTTTAGGAGGAAAACTATTGATTGCAAACTTTGGAAGGATTACGCTTTTAGACATTGAAAATGAATATGGCAATGATCGTCAATGTCGGAGCTATTTATGCAACTTTGCCAACTAAGCCTTAAGCAAGTATTTTTTTAAATACATTATATAATTATTTTTCGTTTACTTCACACTTAATTTATTGTTCAATATTCATTAATTGTAACACGTTATTTTATAACATATTTACAATTTATTTAGTTTACTTTAACTATTTTCTTGTACAATTTTACACATTATTTAATATAATATATGGTAAAGTTTCAGAAAAAAAAAAAATCATCTAACTACTTCTAAGAATGTTACGAAGTTAATTGTTGGACATGGTGTTCCGAGATTTGAGATTTCATTCGGAGGTTACACTTGAATAGTACAAATTTTATTTTTTGCCAGTTATTTTTGTATGATACTCATTGCCTTTATAATTTAATTTTGTTGGTTGGATCAAGGTAATATGGGCAACGTGCATTTGGTCCCGCTGGGTCACGCTCGCGACCCCCTGGCCCGATTCGAAATCCTTGCACGGACCGGTGACAACTCGATTCGCATTCGCCTTCAGGTGGAAGGCGTTCGCCTGAACGTGGCCGCTGGTGTCGGAGCTTCGATGGGTCTGCAACCCTATTTCGTTGTACATAGTTCGGGCTACAAATATTGATTAGATTTCAACGATTGCGCAGATCACAAATGAAAAAAGAAGAGAGAATGAGGGGGAGAGGATAATGGGTCTTTGATAGAGAAATATGATGAGGTGAGATAACGAGAGAGAGAGAGA